GGTTTTACCATGTTGGTCAGGCTGGTCTTGAACTTCTGACCTCAGGTGATCCACCCGCCTTGGCCTCCCAAAGTGCTGGTATTACAGGCGTGAGCCACTGCACCTGTCTGGTAATGCTTCTTATACTGTGTCTGAAATCTCTTTATTGGTCATTGTATTTGTTTTCTATTGCTGCGTAACAAATCACCACAACCTTTAGCAGCCTAAAATAATACAAATGTCTTGCCTCACAGTTTCCACATGTCAGGAGATCAAGCACAGGTTAGCTGAGCCCTCTGCCCAGGGTTTTAGCAGGCTGAAACCTAAGTGTTGAATGGCCGCATTCTCATCTGGAGGCCTGACTAAGCAAACGTTTGCATCCAGGCACTGCCTCCAGCTGTCGGCAGAATTTATTTCTTGTATTTTCTTGCTAGCTGTCAGATGTGGGGTTAGGGGGCATTCTCGGCTACTAGAGGTCACTCTCAAGTTTTTGCCCTGTGACCCTCTCTACAACATGCTTTATTTACTTCTTCAAGGCCAGCGGAAGAGTTCAACCAGGAAAAGCCCAGGCTATCTTTTAGGGGCTTTACCTGATTAGGTCAGGACCACCCAGAATAATCTTCCTTTTGATTAACTCAAAGTCAACTGATCAGTGGGAGTGATAGTTCACATTCACAGGTCTCACTGGAATTGAAGAGGAGGAGATTACACAAGGTGTATATATTGGAAATGCGATTTAAGAAACCATTTTAGAATTCTGACTCCCATAGGCATTCATTGTTATTTTTTAATCATTGGTGGGTTCTGATGGGAGGAGAGTTAATGTTTGTATTAATCATGGCCTTTTACATATAGATGACTAAAGAACCCAATTCAAATACGGCTTAAAAATGAAGGAGGGAATTTATTGTCTCATTTAATGAAAAAATCCAGGATGTCGGACTACCTTCAGGCATGGCTTGATCCAGAGGTTGAAATGATGTTTTAGGTCTCAGCCCCCCCCCCCCACCCCGCCCCATGACATTGCTCCCTCTGTAGAGCTTAATTCTCAAACAGGTCACCCCACGTGATACTAAAAGTGACTGTGATCAGTTCCAGGCTTATATCTTGAAGGCTTAGCAACCTCTGGGTAAAGACATTGCCTCTTGGCTGGGCAGAGTGACTCATGCCTATAATCCCTGCACTTTGGGAGGCCAAGGTGGGCGGATCACAAGGTCAGGAGTTCAAGACCATCCTTGCAAACACAGTGAAACCCCATCTCTAAAAAAAATACAGAAAATTTAGCTGGGCACGGTGGTGGGTGCCTGTAGTCCCAGCTACTCGGGAGGCTGAGACAGGAGAATCACTTGACCCCAGGAGGCAGAAGTTGCAGTGAGCTGAGATCATGCCACTGCACTGCAGTGCTGGTGATGATGAAATCACTCCGTCAAAAAAAAAAGTCATTGCCTCTTTTCCAAGTAGTTCAGCAAAGTGCCAGAATTGAGTATTAATGGGTGGGCTTTGATAACATACTCACCTCTGAACCCATCACTGAGATTCTGATTGGCCAGGCTCAGGCCACATTCCTATCCCCGATGCTCCACACAAACCAGGTGGATTGACTCTGGAGGAAGAGAATTCCAAGGGAAGGTGAGGGCATTGTTACTGTAAGGCTGGGGAAACACATGCTGGACAAGCAGAAACAATAGGCGCCCATTACAGGAACACAGAGTCAAGAAGACATGACTTCTGCCCTCAAGCAGGAACAGACCTGTACTGGGGAAACAACTTCAGGATAGTACAGTGACAGGAATCAATAACTGAAAACGTACATGTGAAGGGCGCTGACAGTACTGAAGCTGTCAGTGTAGAGAGAGGGCGGGTGGGGATTGCAGCCAGCTCCCTGGAGTGAAATCTCAGCCTTACCACATATACCCTGCGGGACTTAACCTCTGCAAGCCTCATCTGTGCAGATGATAAGGCTTGGAACCTCCTCGGTTTGTGAAAATGAAACAAAACAACGGAAATGAAGCACTCCGCACCATTCCTGGGACATAATAAATGCTCAATAAACATGAGCTGAGTGGGAGAATTCCAAACAGGCTTCCCAGGGAAGGGCAAACCCCATTCAGGAGTGAAAGCCTACAGATAAACAAAGGGAGGGTATTTGAGGGTCAGAGGAAGGGGCTGGGTGCGCTCACAGGGCAGAGCTCTAATAACAAGAGAAGCCGTCCCCACCCCCGCAGCCTTCCTCCGTCAAGTCCCTGCGCTCTGAGCGTCTGATCCGCACCTCGCTGGACCTGGAGTTAGACTTGCAGGCAACGAGAACCTGGCACAGCCAACTGACCCAGGAGATCTCGGTGCTGAAGGAGCTTAAGGAGCAGCTGGAACAAGCCAAGAACCACGGGGAGAAGGAGCTGCCGCAGTGGCTGCGCGAGGACGAGCGTTTCCGCCTGCTGCTGAGGATGCTGGAGAAGCGGGTGAGTGCAGCTCAAAGGCAAGGGAGCCCTGCATTCTGTCCCAGGGAGTGGGGGGCACTGCCCCGGGGAAGACAGGCCAGAGCTCATGATGCATCCTGCCATTCCCACCACAGGTTTCACTGAGGGTGTTCCACCCATCCCTCGTTCCCATCAGCAGAGGGATCCAGGAATCCCTTTGCCCACTCAGCCTTATTAACCCTTCACCTGGCTGCAAGGCCCATTTACTGCATTTGTTGATGTGTTTTTGTGTGCTGGCCCTTATTATTCACACATGTGCTCATCATACAGTTCTTCATGAAATACATTGGGCACCTAATCTGTGCCAGGGCACACACTTTAACAGAGTAACAATAGGTCACGGACCTGCCTCAGTGCCTGCCCAGGCAGTCCCACAGGGCAGCCCTTGCCAAAGCAGGAGAGGGGCTGGTCATACCCGGGCTTTCTGCTAACAAGGATGCCCTGGAGTACAAGCCTGCTGGCATCTCTGCCCTGCTATAGTGAGTTTAAGGGTTGATCAAGGAGAAAGATATAACCACAAAATGGTGTTAGCACACACACAAGTTTTATATTAGTTGTGCTTTTTTTGTTTTGTTTTGGAGACAGGTTCTTACTCTGTTGCCCAGGCTGCAGTGTGGTGGCACAACAGCTCACTGCAACCTCCATCTCCCAGGCTCTATCGATCCTCCCACCTGAGCCTCCTGAGTAGCTGAGATGACAGGTGCATACCAATATACCTGGCTAATTTTTGTTTTTCTGTAGAGAGGAGGTTTCACTTTGTTGCTCGGGCTGGTCTCGAACTCCTGGGCTCAAACAATCTACCCACCTTGGACTCCCAAAGTGCTGGGATTACAGGCATGAGCCAGTGTGCGTGGCTTGCGCTGCGCTTTGACAGGTTTGCATGCAGGAGAAGTCCCTCACAACATGAGACCTTCCAAAGGGGCTGGGGGCTACTACCCAATGTGGAAGAAGTCAAGGGAACTCCCAGGGGAGAGCTGGGGGAGAGGGCCATCTAGGTGATATAGCTCTGCAGCAAGATGGGGAGTCTCTGGGTCAGAGAACTCCAAAGCCACAGCAGCAGATTGGAGTCTCTTATAGACCCAGGGCGTATCTTATCTATAGCTAACAAATCTTGGATACAGTTTCACAGGGTATGTAAAACACAAAGGTTGTATATTTCTTTAAAAGCTGCTTATTTGAGCTATATTTAAAACAACTGGAAGAGTAAAAATTTGAGTTTGGCACCAGCAGGCTTTTGAGCCAACACGTCCCAGACTACCATGAAGAAATAATACAGGGCCAATATACAAGGGCCATTCTCTACTCTTTTATAAAAAATAATACCTGCCACTCTGTGATTGCCACCCACGGCTAGAAAGACCTTTGCTAGTTCTCTCTGCACGCAGCCAGACTTGCTGAGAGCACCTTACACAGGGAGCCTACCTGAACTTTCAGGAGGGCCATCAGCTGAAATCTCAGCGCTCCGTGCAGGTGCTGATGCCCTAGGGCAGGAAGATGATGCTGGACTTCTTAGGCCTGGACTGATGTGGCAGCTTCAAACTGACTCTGGCAGTTCCGAAGTTCCAGAAAAGTTTGTTTCTTTCTTATTTATACCCTGTTTACTTACAAACAGCATTATAACAAGAGCATTGAGGGAAAATAGAAAATTGCAAGGCTTAAAGGAGGAGAAGGAAATAAATATATCCCAAACCTAAAGTAACCTAGTTATAGTTAGGTATTGTATCTATCTTTGAGCTTCCTGGTAGCCAAGGCAAAAAGAAATCAGAAAATAAGTGCCTATGTGCCCTACCTTAACACTTGATCTTAGTCAAAAGACTAAGAAGTAATACATGCCCTGACTTAAGAAAAACAAAGAAAACTTGACCTTTCAAATAGTAAAAAAAATAAAATAAAAAAGTAAGATCTATGCTTTCTAACAAAGAATCTTTGAAATTATGGCTTTATTTACCAAACTTCTGTCTTTGTGCAATGTTTTCAAGTATACGGTACGTGGATAGTTTAGAGTTGTCTGTGGTTTGTTCTCCAAAGTGTTTGCATGGGTTTACATTAGGAGAAAGGGGCATAGTGTTATACCTAAGCCTCTTAAGAACCACTGCATAGCTTGAGATTGGATTTCTACCTCTTCCTAGTAGTCTCACATTAAAGAAATTTTTTTTTTTTTTTTTTTTTGAGACGGAGTCTCACTTTGTTGCCCATGCTGGCATGCAGTGGTGTGATCTCAGCTCACTGCAACCTCCACCTCCCGGGTTCAAGTGATTCTCCTGCCTCAGCCTCCTGAGTAGCTGGGATTACAGGCATGCACCACCACACCTGGCTAATTTTTGTATTTTTAGTAGACATGAAGTGTCACCATGTTGGTCAGGCTGGTCTCGAACTCCTGACCTTGTGAGCCACCGTGCCCGGCCAAAGAAATTTCTTACTATGCCAGAGCCTCGGTTCCCTTGGTAAAATAGAGGTAATAGCATCTATCTTCGTAGGTGGCCTGAGGATTAGAGGTAGCGCACATTTCACCAGGTACCCCTCATCTCCTTACTTCCTCAGATCCACACAGGTATTCAGTTCCCTGGCCCCAAAAATCTAGTCACTCAAACAGATGATTTGAGCACTTCCTATTCTCATTCTGAATGAAGTGGATCCCACGTGGAGCAGGAGTGAGAATGCCTTCCCTACAGTAGCCCCCTCGGTTGTGATAGCGAGTTCTCCTTGGCTGCCCCTTTCTGGAGGCCCCCTCCACTGACTCAGGGCCTTGCTTGCTTTGCCCAGCAGATGGACCGAGCAGAGCACAAGGGTGAGCTTCAGACAGACAAGATGATGAGGGCAGCTGCCAAGGATGTGCACAGGCTCCGAGGCCAGAGCTGTAAGGAGCCCCCAGAAGTGCAGTCTTTCAGGTAAGCAGAGGGCCCCGGCAGCCCCCCTCTCCCTTTCTCAGCCAACCCACCGGCCTTAGCCTTCTGTCTCTGGTCTCACTGCTCCCATCCCTTGCTCACAGAGCACTGGCTTTCTCTGTAACCGATGTTCATCTTCCACCAAGCCATACCTGGCTATCCATGAGCTCTGCAGCACGCTTCCCCTGGCTGTCTTTATCGGTCCCCACACAACTGAGCTAATTTGTTAGATCCTCTTGTTTAATGAATGAGCCACCTGCCCCAGCCTTCCCTCATAGTGTTTTGTTTTGTTTTTTTTTTTGTTTGTTTGTTTGTTTTTGTTTTTGGTTTTTTTTTTTTTTAATTTTTTTTAAAGATGGGGTTTCACCATGATGGCCAGGCTGGTCTTGAACTCCTGACCTCAGGTGATCCACCCACCTCGGCCTCCCAAAGTGCTAGGATTACAGGCGTGAGCCACTGCGCCTGGCCCCTTGTAGTGTTTTCATCACTGGTAATTGTGGAGGTTGATAAATAAGCCTGGGGGTGATGGCTGCTTGCTGGGCTTCCCTGGCTCTGCCTGCCACCTGCTAGGATCTCAGGAAGGTGCTTTCTTGCCATGCTGGACCCCAGTGTATCCTTGGAGGGCCCTGAGTGCCATTTGGCCTGGACCTCCCATTCACAGAGGGCCTAGCGTTTAGACTTCTGATGTCCTCTCAGGTACACGTTTGTGTATGTGCTTAAAAAAAAAAAAAAAAAAACTCCTTTGTGAAATAAACATTTAAAATGCACAATAATTTGTACAAGTGTCTTTGGGCATCTCTTAACTTTTTAACAAATTGAGAATCTAAAACAAACATTGGAAGTGGCCCAAGGGTCCTTTGAAACTCTGAGAAGCCTCTGATTTGATTTGAACTAAGGGTCATTGTTCATGCTAATGGTCCTTTAAAGCAGTGGTTCTCAACCAGGGGTGACTTCTCCCCTTCCCTCTGGGACGTTTGGCAATGAGCATACATTTTGCGTTGTCATAACTGGAGGTCAGAGGCTGAGGACATTGCTAAACATTCTGCATTGATGTACAGGACAGCCCCCACAACAAAGAATTCTCCTGCCCAGAATCTCTGTAGAGTGAGGTTGAAAACCCCTGCTCTAAAGGGATGGCCTCTCTTATAGGGAGAAGATGGCGTTTTTCACCCGGCCTCGGATGAATATTCCAGCCCTCTCTGCAGATGACGTCTAATTGCCAGAAAAGTGTTTCCTTCGTTCTACTGACCAGGCTGTGAACATTGACTGTGGCTAAAGTTATTTATGTGGTGTTATATGAAGGTACTGAGTCACAAGTCCTCTAGTGCTCTTGTTGGTTTGAAGATGAACCGATTTTTTAGTTTGGGCCCTATTGTTATTATTAAAAACAAGAACAAAACAAAACACACAAAAAAACAGAAACAAACAAACAAAAAAAAACCAGCATTAAAATGATAAGATTGTATAGTTTGTATATTTAGGAGTGTATTTTTGGGAAAGAAAATTTAAATGAACTAAAGCAGTATTGTGTTGCTGCTCTTCTTAAAATCCTTTAGATTTTTTTGTTTGTACAGCGCCACCTTTTAGAGGTCTTACTGCAATAAGAAGTAATGCCTGGGGGACGGGAATCCTCATAGGACGTCCCGCACTTGTCACAGAACAGCTAACTTTTCCTAGTTAACATATTTTGTACAATATTAAAAAAAAATGCACAGAAACCATTGTGGGGGGGATTCAGAGGTGCATCCACGAATCTTCGTGAGCTGTGACGTGTTTTTATGTGGCTGCCTGACATGGAGCGGGCGGTGTGATAGGCTGGGGGGCTAAGCAGCCCAGCCTATGTGGGTTTCAGGCCACGCTGGTCTCAGATGCCCAGTGAAGCCACTAACATGAGTGAGGGGAGGGCTGTGGGGAGCTCCATTCAGTTTTATCTCCATCAATAAAGTGGCCTTTCAAAAAGAATCCCTTCTTGCTCTTGTTCTCTTCTCCACCCTCACTTGGTCTGTGTTTCCCTGATTTTTGACTCTCCCTTTTCCAGTCATTTCTTTCCCACCCATCCCCAGTTTAGGAAACATTTATGTTTTCTTTTGCCCACTCCTTTCATTTGCTCATTAAGTTTAAATGACTGCTCAAATCATTGGGAATCCACATCCCCAAGTTAGATTGGGGATGCTCTCTGCACTGTCTCCTTCTATGGAATTTCACCCCACCCAATGAGAGGTGACTTCACAGTTTCTTCATATGAGCATCATTCCATGTCGTCCCCAACCCAGGGATAGTAGGTCCTAGAGCTTATGTGTTTCATGCTGCTTATGTGGCCCGTATTCCTGCCCAGCTCAGAGCTTTGCAGGGTCTATTGCGTCAACATCAGAAGTCAGCCTCTAACAAATAGCAACAGCCACAAATCTCTTCCTCCTTCCTCTCTGACATTACCCTGTTGTACCACCCAGCAAAGCATGCTGCACCAGCTATATCAGAATCACCTGGGGCAGCCTATTAAAAATGCAGACTGTCAGGCCCCTCTCTAGACCCACTAAACTATCCTACCCACCCTGGGACTGTCCCCAATGCCAGTGTTTTACCCGTGTTCCCTCTGTAAGTCTTAGGCATGCTGCAGTTTGAGATCTCCACTGGTATAAAGTGAGTGAAGCCCAGGCAGAGGCAGGCAAAATGGTGAGGCCAGTACCCTACTGGTGAGTCACACAGGGAATGCTGAAATTCATGGCCCTCTCCAGGCCACTGGGGACCCGGGGCGGTGATGGAGGGAGTGGCACCACCTTCACTTGCTGCTGAGGCTCTTCCCCCCTCCCCAGAACACTCCTTACCTGGCTGTCTCTCCTCATGTATAAGGAACCTCCAGTGATGGAGAATCTACTCTTCTTCCCCCTGTGGCTTCCAGGATCTCTGACAGTCAGTCCCCCCTGGATAGCTGGTATCCAGCGCAATTTCTCACCACTGGCCTGGGCTTCCTCCTGCCCCATGGCATCAATCTCTGATGTTCTCTCTCCTTCCACTGAATTCCACGGGACACATTAAGGGTTGACTTTATGTCTTCATATGTGTATCAATCAACATCTTCCCCAACTCACTTGTACCAGGTTGTAGAGCACGAGGATGGTCTCATGCTGCCGTGTGGCCCCCATGCCTACACAGCTCTGAGCTTTGAGGAGGCTGCCCTCCTTGCTGACCCTGTGATCTTTTCTGCTGAGGGCACTGGCCGCAGCAACGGGGCAGATGACCCAAGCTGGCTGTAAGTGACCCATCTCTTTGGCTCCCATGACTAGACCAAGGAGAGGCATGGGGCCAAGCCAAGCCATTCAGAACCCTTCCCTAGCATTTTCCACTCACAGGTTAGAGATGAGAGTTTCTCTTGCAAAGCTCCAGCTTCACGGTGAGGAAAGAGACCCTTAATTCTCTTAAGCTTCTGAGAGCCCTTCCTCCTAGACTTCTATATTGCATTTCAGTAGAAGTAAAGGCTGGCAGACCGGGTGCCACCCTTAATCACACTCCTATAGATCCCTGGCATGGTATGGAGGAATCTTTCCAGAAGGCACTGTTTTTGCTTAAACACGATCAAACCCCCACCTAGTCACGTACCCCATGCCTACTTCATGGATCAAGACCCTTTCACATGTAATTTCTAGAATTATAAGACTTTAAAAGGGCAAGGATTTTCTTTGTCGAAGAGCTCAGTTGTTTGTATTTTCACCTGCTGCAGCTCCCAGCTGAGCAGCAGGTGAAAATACCTTAACTTCCTTCCCTGTTCGGTGTTTGAGAGGTTTGCAGCTGCTCCTGCTTCAATGGGGGCAATGGCATTAGGAAAATAAGGACAACCTGCAAAGGGAAGCAGATGCAAGGGATGGAGACAGAATGGGGGTGTCCTGGGGATCTTGGAGCCTGAATTCATTGGCCTGAGAGGCAGCAGAGGACTGTATTTGCAGTCCATTTGGACTCAATAAAAACTTTGAAGGGCACATATGTTACGAAATTCCTTCTCAGTGACACATTCATCTGTGCTTAGTTCTCCCAGCAAGGGTCAGCCCCTCACACTCCTGCAGCATCAGGTGCTATGAAGCAGAGCTGTAAACACCCTCCCTGTGTATGGGAAAAGCTACATGGAGCAAATCCTCCCACCCGGAGAGGCGCATCTCAGAGTCACTTCAGCTGTGAGGACGTTTGTGGGGAGAACCAGACCGCCTCTGTGGAAGGCCAGAGTCTCTTCCAGCCATGGAGTTGAATTCTCTATAAACACTTCACCAGCAAACCACCATTCGGTTGTTTGCCTAGAGACAAATTCAAAAATAAATAAATGTTCACTTGTAATGGTGCATGTGTCTTTTCCAGAACCTTCAGGAAACAAAGCTGGGAAATGTAAAATGACGCCCTCAAGCTCACATACATAACAAATGGCTATAGCTAGGATGCTGAGCCCATCTTTCAACTCCAAAATCTGTTTTCTTTCAGCTCCAGCTTCTGTTTCACAGTGTGGCATTACCACACTGCACCACAGGAGGCCCTAATTGTAGGGCCTTAGAATCCTTGGTCTTGAAGAATGAAGTCACACATTCCTGTGGTTTCTCTGCATAGGGTGGGGAGAAAGGCAGGGTCCCAGGATAGTAGTCTGAAAAAAAGACAGCAAACCTCACTGGCTCTGATTCTCCTGCTCCTAAAGGCAATGGTTGCCTTTGAGTCCAGACCGTTTTGCAATATGCACACGAGCTTTCTACCTCTCAAGAAGGCTAAGGACCTTAGCTAAGGCTAAGATTATTCCAGTTAACTATCGCCTGCCTTAGCAGGCTCCAGCCAGGCTGGCCTTTCTTTTGCTCCTTCCCAACACCAGCCCTTTGTAGTCCTAATTCCTTCTGCCTGGTGGACTCTTCCTCCACGTCTTCACACCGACTTTACATGGCCAGCTCCTTCTCACCCTTCAGGTTTCAGCTGAAGCCTCACCCCTCAAGATCCCTCTCCGCCCTGGAGCATAAGCTCTTAAAGCAAGAACCTCATTTGCCTTGTTTTTGTTAGGTCTAATGTAGAGTGGGTTCTTAATATTTGTGAAATGAATTGAATGAATGGATGTGATGAAAGGTCTGCCCCAAAGGTGTATTTGGTTTCTACACCTTTGTCATTCAAATCAGGAAGCCCCTGGGTGGAACAGGGGTACTAAAAGCTGGTTTTGACAGGCACCAGGGTGCAGACCCCCCCTTAGATGCAACTCAGGGCATCATCCCCTGCTCCTAGACACACGTGTGACCCCACAGCATAAAGAAGCAGAAGTGATTGGGAGTTCACACACACACAACATTTAAATTCTCTGAAGAGCCAAGCATGGTGGCTCATGCCTGTAATCCCAGCACTTTGGGAGGCTGAGGCAGGAGGACTGCTTGAGCCCAGGAGTTCAAGACTAGCCTAAGAAACATAGTAAGACCCTGTCTCTACAAAAAGTAAAAATTAAAAAAACAAAAGCTGGGTGTGGTGGCTCACACCTGTAATCCCAGCACTTTGGGAGGCTGAGGCTGATGGATCACCTGAGGTCAGGAGTTCGAGACTAGCTTGGCCAACATAGTGAAACCTAAAATTTTTAGTAGTCTCTAATAAAAATACAAAATATTAGCCAGGTGTGGTGGTGGGTGCCTCTGTAATCCCAGCTACTAGGGAAGCTGAGGCAGGAGAATCACTTGAACCCTGTGCCCTTTATCACGTCAGGGTCACCACCTGAGACGTGGGTCTCACCACCTGCAGAAATCTGACCTGCAGACCCCGACTCAACTATGGATGAATGAAAGCACTCTCACACCATTACAGTGTTTCAAGTGGGCTAAGGATGGCCGTTGGCTGCTTTCAGAGGGCAAAATGCAACCAATCGACTCAGACCCTCTGTCTGTCCACACATTTATTCCCTTAAGATTTTACAACAGAGGTTCTGAGTTAACACACTTGTGGATCATTAACATGGTTAAGAGAGTGGTTTTATGACTGATAAAAGCTTTAGGTTCTGGGCCTGGAGTAAATGCTGTTAACAGGCAATTCCCCTTCGAACTCCCCCTGAGAGAGCCATCCAGCACAAAGTTAACATGAGTAAACAGGGTGGAGACAAATAGGTATGGGGTAAACAGACTTAACTGGGAAGAGCCTCGTCGCTATTTTTGTCCAAATTTAATGGACCTGCCGGCTGCCTTTGGCCTGCCCCGAATAAAACCTTTTGGCCTTCCAAAAGGTTTGAGACTAATCTATAACTTTTCCTAAATATTTTCTTTAATATTTTGCCAACCACCCCAAGTGAATAGCAGCAGAACTCATGAGGTGGAGGTTGCGGTGAGCCGAGATTGCGTCATTGCACTCCAGCCTGGGCAACAGTTGAAACTCCACCAAAAAAAAAAAAAAATAGCCAGGCATGCTGACGCACACCTGTGGTCCTAGCTACTAGAGAGGCTGAGGTAGCGAGGATCCAAAGAGGTTGAGGTGGCAGTGAGCCGTGATCGTGCCACCACACTCCAGCCTGGGCAATAGAGCAAGATCTTGTCTTAAAAAAAGAAATTTTTTTTTTGAAAAAAAGCTTATTAGGCCGGGCGCGGTGGCTCATGCCTGTAATCCCAGCACTTTGGGAAGCCGAGGTGGGTGGATCACAAGGTCAAAAGATCAAGACCATCTTGGCCAACATGGTAAAACCCCGTCTCTACTAAAAATACAAAAAATTCGGTGGCTCACGCCTGTAATCCCAGCACTTTGGGAGGCCGAGGCGTGTGGATCACGAGGTCAAGAGATCGAGACCATTCTGGTCAACACGGTGAAACCCCATCTCTACTAAAACTACAAAAAATTAGCTGGGCATGGTGGCGCGTGCCTGTAATCCCAGCGACTCAGGAGGCTGAGGCAGGAGAATTGCCTGAACCCAGGAGGCGGAGGTTGCGGTGAGCCGAGATCACGCCATTGCACTCCAGCCTGGGTAACAAGAGCGAAACTCC